CAGCCCTCGCCGGGCAGGAAGCGCTGGCCGGCCGCGCGCCCCCGGCCCTCGGCTCCGTCCTGGGCGGACAGCGGGTGTGAGGGCTGGCACCACGAGGTTGCAGAAGCAAAACACATGACACGAAGTGGCCTCGGGCGTGGCACCTGACCCGTGAGCCTCGGTTCCACGTAACACGCGATGCGGCCACTCTGGCCTCCCTGCTAGCGAGCCCCGGAGTCGGGTTATCTCACGGGGAGAGGAGTGGGGCTAGCTGCTCTGCGAGTGTCCCGCCAGGAGAGGGACGTGGCCGAGGGCTGCGGGGTGGCGCTGGCGGCCAGCTGGGCGCGGGGGCTGTTAGGTGACCCGTAAGCTGAGAGCTACAAACGTGGCTGCCGGGCCGGAGCCCGACCAGAGGCGAGGAGGCGCGCCGCCGGGGCAGGAGGCAGAGGTGGGCCAAGTGCGGTTGTTCCCAACTTCTCTCCCAAGGCGGGCCGGAGCCAGGGGCGGGAAATGGCCAACCCTCCAGGGGTGCAGGAGCCCCGCGCGAGCTCGGGTGTGCCGGTTCCTGACTCCTCGCTCCAGCGAGGCAGGTGTTGGAAATGGTGGGCAGGTTCGCGCAGTACCGCCGCTCGGGTTTCCGAAGCTTCCTTTGAGCTGCATTTTCCCGAGCCTGCGGGTGGGGAGTGGGGCGCGCCCCTCCCCCAGGCCTCCTGGTGATGGAGCGAACAGCAGGCGCCCCCTAGTGCCGACGGGGGGTACCGTTGCCGTCGACCCGCCTTGCTCCCTTGCGGGGGAGATTTTGTTTTCCTGTGGCTTCTGTGACTGTGCTTTTGCTCTTAGCAGGAGCTGTGGTGGAAGTAGTAGTAAGGTGGGTATCGAATCCTCTCCCTGCCACTTCCGCACAGACTCGAGATGTCTGTATTGTAGGCCCTAGGCATGCAGCCCAGCCCTTGCAAGCAGCTCAGATAAACAATAGCAATAAAGACAGCAGGGCAGAGGGCCTGAGAAGGTGTGAGAGCAAAGCTCGGAGTCTAATGAGAAAAACTGGAGAAATAGGTGAAGGTTGGTAGGTATTAGCCAGATAAGAGAAGAAAGAAGAGTCTTCCAGACGTCGTTGAATTTCTCAGTTACATTTTTTTTTTCTTGTAGGCCCAGTTCTTCACTCCAAATCAATGTGCTCCCTCCTTTCCAGCTTCCCAGGCCAGGTGTTTAAAAGTTCTGTAGGCGCCATTGCCACTTCTTTTAGACCGAGGAATTGGGGTGGGGTGGGGTGGGGCTAAAATGGCTTCCTTGCTTCAGAGGGCTTTGCAGTTGTTTATATATCGCTGCCATTCCAACCAAGAAATGGAAATAACACTTTCACCATCCCAAGTTGTGAGCTTGGTGTCTTCACCACCAACTGTTTTCACCCCGAGTTTGTCCTTTTTTTTTCCTTAAGAGTTACTTAATTTGGGGGAACAGCAGATAGTATAATGGTTGCATCGCTGGATTCCCACCTGGTCGACCACAATTTGCAGTTGGAGTCCCCGACTTGGAGGCTTGAGACTCACTGCAGGCACATGTGCGTGCATGCCCAAGATCCCAAGAAGAGAATGGAGAAGAGATTGCAGTGTGACCATCCCTTCTGGGGGTGATTATTTGTTTATTTACAGTCATTCACTGTACATCAATACAGTATACCAAATGAGATTTTTCCATCCAGAATACATTGTATATTGGCTCAATCAAGGATACCATACACGTTATCAACAACAAATAATTTTCTATTTCTTGTTTCTTACTTATTTTTGCCTCTTTCCCCCCTTGATTTCCTACCTCTCACCCTCTGCCAATTACCCCCGTCTCCCACACTGTCTCTGGTATGTACAGTTGCTTCCCATGCCTTTTTCTTTTCATGTTTTATTGATTCACTAAAGATCTTCATTAATTTTAAAACTTTCAATAGCAAGCACAGCTGATAAATACTTATTTATGAATGTATGTTTGACTTTAGGCATAAACCTCAGTGAGTAAGGTGAACATACTATAAAGTAGCTACTTGCTGGAGCTATATAGCTTACTGCAGTCATTAAATAGGTATTAATAGGTATTTTAAAAAATATTTAATTCTGTTTATTATTAATTTGACTAGCGAGCGAGAGAGAGAAACCATGCTTCCAGGTGCAGTACTCAGACTGCAGTCAGCCATGTGGGAATCCAACACCCTTATCCACCATGCCACCTGCCGGCCCCATTAATAGGTTGTTTTTTTTTGTTTTTGTTTTTTTTCCGCTATAGAGTGCCTGTGCTCGCCAGAAAGGCAGAGAGAGAGACAGAAAACAAGAAATCCCCCCCCGGGGGTGGGGGCGGATGGCCACACTGCAATCTCTTCTCCTCCATTTCTCCTCCATTCTCCTCTCGGGATCTTGGGCATGCAGGCACACCTGCCTGGCGTGAGTTTAAGCCTCTGGGTCCAGGACTCGAACAGCGGTCGACTACATGGGAGTCCAGCAACACAGTCATTACACTAACTACTGATCCCTTAATAGGTATTTTTTTTAAGGCATGTTTTTTATTTCAAGGAAAACAGTTTTAGTTTTAATAGATCAAAATAAAACAAAAAATGTTAAGAGAGGGACCAGCAGTTGGCGTAATGGCTGTGTTGCTAGACTCCCATGTAGTCGACCGCTGTTGGGGTCCTGGACCCGGCGGCCTA